ATGTCAACTTACAAAACGAGATGAGTTGTCATTTCGTATTGTCTTCGCATTACCAAAGGCTTCCAGCAATGGGTTAGCCTGGATGATTTGATCCTCCAGGGTTCCCTAAAGAGTATAATTTGTTTATGGTTAACAGCAACTAAATTGCGAGATACAAATGCGCTGAATTATATTCTTAATACACACTTTCGACTTAGCTGTTTCAGCTTTCTTCTTGCACACATCACCAAGAGCTGCAATTGTTGCAAAGTACTGGATGACATATTTTGTGTTCACAGTCTTCCCAGCACCAGATTCTCCACTGAAAAGCACAAAAATGGTCACACAATTTCTGCTATTCCTTTCATCAGTTAAAAATCAGACTACCTTACATTAAGGAGTTAAATTTTTTGGTGCCTTTAACAAAATAAAATGTCCACAAAGGTTTTCCCAAGCAGCATTATCAAATAAAATTTGGCACCATGCCACATAGTTGAAAAGGTGACTAAAAACTTAGTTGAAGAAAGACCAGCTTAAAAGTGGAGAGAACGAGTGAAAATGTTTAGGAGGGAATTCCAGAGATTAGGACCTAGACAATTGAAGATCAAGCTGCCAATAGTGGAAAATTGAAAACAGGATGCAAAGAGGACATCAGAGCATATCAAAGAAGTTGGAGGAGGTTAAAGATATGAGGAGAGTAGAAACAAATGTGGGATTAGACAGTTACTATGGGAACTTTAAATTCAGGGCATTGCCAGACCAGAAAGCAATGGAGGTCAGCTGAAAAAAACAGTGGATAGGACCTGGTGTGCATTAGGACGTGAGTTTGAATGGGTTCTAGTTACAATAGGACATTATGAACAATGCATGATAGAAAGTGCTACAACAAGTAAGTATGACATGGAGAGTGTTTACATTAGAATATTCATTAGAATATCATAGTTTACATACCTGCACATAGATAGTGAAAGAAATTTATAGACTTGTGTAAATCAGTTACTTACGTGATTAGGATAGATTGGTTTTCACGGTCTGTAAGATAAAATACCAAAAAAGCGTATTAGAAATTTCATTCTATTTAATTTTAAACTGAACTTCATTGTAAATTGTGCAAATTGTGTGCAATTATTAAACAATAAAATGGATACATAAATACTTATTAAAAATACAGAAAATTTGCAAATTACCTGTTAACATGGACTGATAGGCATTGTCAGAGATTGAAAAGATGTGGGGAGGAGCCTCCTGTCTTTTCTTCCCTTTATAGGCAGTCACAACCTCAGAGCCGTAGACTGGTAACTTTTTGTAGGGGTTTACAGTGACACAGAACAACCCAGAGTATGTCTTAAAAAGCAAGAATACATTAATGTTGACACTTTGTAACTTATACTCGATTTTCAAAAATCAAACATTGAAAATGTCCTTACATAGATCATCCAGGCTGCATAACGGTCTTTGAGGTTAAACAGCACACATGCTTCATTCAAGTGGGTCATCATAGCCATATCCTCAATTTTGTCAAATTTTGGGGGATTCCTTGGAAAGACATCATCGGGTTTCACAACAACTGTCTGAAATAGATAATTTAGTAAGTGTATATATAGTATAGTTTTATAAGTCATGGCACTATGATTGTAAATAAGATAAACAGTTGCATTCATTAAAAAATTTCTAAAGTTCACCAACCTTCCCATCTGCTCTCTCCACTTCAACCTTGGTACTGTCTTGGCTCTTAATTTTTCCTTTTACAAATACCAGCTTGGGGTCACTTACATAACAAGCAGTTTTGGCATCGAAGGGCCTGTTCTGGGCTTCAACTTGCTCTTTCATAGATTTGCGGAGAAATGGAGCAGCTGCTCCAAAAATCTTCATTTCCTCAAAGTTCATGGTTGCTATGTGTTCACTGTGTGTAAAAGTACAATCATTACAATGTACTTCAATTACAGGTGAAATTGCAGAATATCCAAATGCAGCCAATGTAAGTGTTGAGCCTGCCAGTTCTGCTCATTTCCTCTAGTTGAACTAGCACAATTCACATACAATCAGCCTGACCAGTGTAAACTATAACAGAACTTTAAGCATACAGTAGTTATGCACAAAGATTCTTCAACACAAATGCTTCCATAATCTTCTTCATTGGCTGAGAAAAATCACTGTGCCTAAAGTTGGCCATGATCTGGCCAGCATGATGATAATCTACCAATTGCATTCTTTTGCAGCCTCTCAAGGTGAGTCTTCAAATTGCAGTCTGTTTTTTAAAGTACAAACGCATGGTTGGCAGCTTTAGTCATGTACTTCCAGCCTTGCTGCAGACTAACAATCCTTTCAGCGAGTACAGCAACAAATCCCTTAGTTAAATTGATATTAACTTCAATATTCTAAATGTATATTACTATGGTATATACTCAAGTAATGGTCAACCTCATATGAAACCTGACCTCCAACTTTCAGCAAAGAAGAATGCAAATTCTTTCCGTACCACTGGTTTGGCACTGAAGTCAAACTCACCCTAGTGAAAACCTACTCATTCATAGAATCACACAATTGTGCGCCATTGAAACCAGCTGTTCAGTTTCTCATGTCTGTACACCCCGACATGTGCTGTAAAGGTTTCTACCTCATTGGTGTGCGTTGCATTCCCCCACATCCTACCGTCTAGTATGTGCAAATAATGGACATTGGAGAATGAAAATCAATCTCTTACTTACTGACGAAAAATTTAGTCTTATAAACTCAATTTTTGCACCAATACATATGGTAACATCAGAATTAATGCTGCTCTTGAGTTGACCAAATCAATCATTGGTCTAAAAACATATGCATTAAAATTTACATTATATTAAATTGGTCGATTATATGAACACAGCACCTTTATCTAAATATGCATTCTGCTCAGACTGAAATCACTTCCTATTGCTGTCAAAATAAATGTGTTAAATAAAACTGACGTACCAGGCTCCGTCGGACTTTTTTCAGAATGAGGTAACTACCCAACCTTTCAAACTCATTCACAGTCTAAAGAAAACGTGTTGAACTTTAGTTTTGTGTGACCTCTTCTTCAGACTGGTGCTGGTGCATCAATCAAAGTCCCACTGGGATTAATCAATCAACAGCTTGCATTGATACGATGTGTCAATTCATGGGAACATTTACACTTGGCATTGTGCAAATGTATTTTGGAAGAAATTGAACCAAAGCTTCAAAATAATTGTGCCTAAAGCAGAAATGTGTGACCTTTTTGAAAATGTTCAATATAATATTGAGATGGATTCTTATGAAATGTCATCAACCCAAAATGTTAACATTGTTTCTCCCACCATTGATGCTGCCTAACTTGTGAAATATATTCAAAGTCATCTGCTTGTTTCAGATTTTCAGTGCCTGCAGTTTTCACTTTTTCTTCTATTGAGAGGGATTGTATTTATTTTGCAAGCCATTCACACCAACATTAAAGTGAGCCGGAGCTGCATCCCTACAACAGGCGGCTTTTTGCCCGTTATTCCCCATTTAAGATGATTCTCTGGCTGATAAACTTGCATGATGTTTGCTAATGTGTAACCTAGTCTTTGTTGCGTATTGAAAGTTGGAAGCCATTGTGAATATATCAATATAACGCTTACCTGAAGGGGAAAAAAGGCATTTCTGTACTGGATATAAATTTCATGTGTGCTAAATAGAGATAAAGCTAGATAAACATTCTGTAAGTAGCTATTGCAAAAGTGAACTTTGTTCAAATATCATTATTTACAGTCTGGAAAAAGGCAACAATATTCAATCACCCTTTGACTCCATAGGTAAATTAGTTGCAGTGTTAGTGACCAACTGACCAATGCCCAACATATATTCATTAAAGCCAGTCAATAACTGGACATCATGAGCCAAATTGCCATAGATTGCAGTCTAGACTAATTCTCTCAACAAGCACATATCAATAATAAAACAGAAAGTGCCAGGGAAACTGAGAAGGTCTGGCAGTATCTGTGGAGTAAGAAACAGCACTAACATCATGAGTCCAACATGAAATTTCTTCTAAACGAAAGGGAGCAGGAAAAGTGATCTTTGCTGGAGGGACAGAATCTCATTTTCTGCACAGGCACTTTATAACCTTCAGGATTAAACATTAAGTTCAATAATTTCATACCATGAAATCTATCCTGTTTTTGAGTAGGCACCTTCTCCAAACCCCAACCCAAAGTTTTCTTTGCTCTTTCTTTTTCTCAGTGGAGATGGTGAAAACACCTGCCATTGACTCTTACTCGTCATCTATAAATCTTCTCTACTACCTTTGCTTTTTGCTCTGGGCAACCTTTCCAATTTGAGCCA